GGGTTGGAGTTTTGCAAAAAGCCTGAAGCATTTAAAAGACATGAACCCCTCTTGCTGCATTGTAAATTCTAAAACAATAGCTTTGGTGCGCCCCACTTAGAGTTCTTAAAAATCTTTCTGATAAAAATAATCATGTTGTTTATTAATGACAGAGAAGGACAATTATAACGATCAAAAAAGAAGGTAGTCTGCATGGAAAAAGCCTGGAAGTGTATACTGAGCCCAGCAGATCTTTTTAACAATGGATTAAAAAGATTTATTTAGTTTCCTGTCCACAAATTGTCTGCAAAAGGGCAGTGTTTTCCGGAATATGTTTTTTATTTCAATATATTAATATTTAATGCAAACAAATTACAGCTTCTAGATTTCTTATAAATTGCAAGCATCTGGTACACTCCATTCTATAGCTGTAGAAATTAATGGCAGTATTCAGTTCTGAAACCTGTCAAATTCCTGTGTTTGAGCTCAGCAAGTGAGCGTGTATTACAGGTGATGGGGCATTACTGGTGGTTCTTTACTGTGCATCCCAACTTTTGATAAGCAAATTTCGTTTAGTCACTCCTGAGCATCCAAAGGAAAACAGTTTTGTCCTTTAACCAAAGGTTACTCCATCAAAAGTCTTCAATGCTATCTGGCTTTCATATAAACAAAGGACAGTTTGAAAAGGCACGTCTGTTGGTTTTTTCCAATAAATTAATGTTTACTTGAGTATTCTCAAGAAATCTCATTTCAAGTATCTCTAGTTTTTAGCTCTTGCTTTGCTGTGCATCTGTAATGAAGCTCAGTCTCTCCGGTCTTCTTAACAGCTACAAACCACCTTAAATGTATCCTTATAAACCTGATTACTGGCAGACTGAACAGTCAACGCACACCAGGAATAAATACAGCAATTACACCTATTTACAGCTGTATCTCTTTTCTGCATTATTATTATTACTAAGTGGTTATTAAAAACAGTGCAGCCATCAGAGCTTCTCTGACTGTCAGCTGGGTGAAGCGAGGACTGTGCCTCGGCTGCGTGTGGTGCTTTCGGCGTCGCTGCGTCATAGGGCTGGTGATGCTGCTTGGTGTCACGGTGTTGGGTGGCATGGCGTGGCAATGGGCAGCGTGGGTGCCCTCCTGATGCAGGCTGTGCAGGACCCACTGTGCCAGGGGCCCCGGTAACAGCCACAATCAGAAGGCAGCACCCGACCACATGTGACAGCATGAACAGCAGACAGATGAACAAACCGCGCCAGTTCATCCCTTCTCGCTCCCTGCTAATGCCCTGGAGGAAGTTTCTGCTGTTGGTTTGTGGTCCTTCTACTATAGGGCGTCTCAGCTACTCGTAGGCACTGCAGCTTTCATGCTGGTGGGCACGGAGGAAGAGGACATGGACCCTTCTGCTCCACGACATTGATGCTTTCCCCTGAGATGAAGGGAAACTATCCTCCAGTGCTGTCAGAGCGGGGTCCTTGAATTATGGGGGTCCTTCTGCATCTGCCCAGGAGAGGGCAATCCGGCACCCAGCCATCAGCCATCTCAGTGCACCATATCTTGGGGCTCGGTGGGCTCTGCGAGGCGCATGTGGTTAGCACCGGCCAGATGGACACGAAACACGGCTCCGTCTCCGCTGGTGGGGTCTGACAGCACCCTTCTCTTACCCATTTCCTCTTCTTCGGTGGGGACTGTGGGCTGTGTCCTGGTCCCTCTCCGCTCTGGCGTGCCGCCTACTTTCCCACCCAGTGCAGCACCCACGCGGGGTCCAGGTGAGCCCACGCGGTACGGAGATTTGGGGTCTGGGTAAGGCAGGGTTGTCGTGGCTTTCTGGGCTCTGATCAGCGGGGTAAGGCTCTCTGCTTGGAGACATGGTGGGGTTCACGCGGGTGTATGCCCTGCAAGTGCAGCTCTGCACACGCTGGTCTCCCAGCTGTTTGCAGCAGCGTATGCACAGGCACATGCACACACTCCTTTTCAGATTTGGAAAGACTGGCTTGTCACTGCTTCTTGTTTTCCTCCCCCTCTTTTTTTTTTTTTTTCCTCTGCTCATATTAAACTCCTTTTCCAGATTAAGGAATTCATTGATTGTCCTAAATCTTAGGCCAGATGTTCCCCTTTGACCCCAGAGCCGCTTTGGGTCGCGGCTCGATGCCAGTGATGCAGGAGTTTGGAGCAGCCCAGGCAGCAGGGCTGGCTGCGCGGGCCCTAACCGCCACTCCTGGAGAGCACGCGGAACTTAAAAGGCGGCAGATCCAAGCGGGAATGGAGATGACACTGTCAGGATCCCTGTAACTTTATTTTCCTTTGATTCTGCCTTCTGTTTTACTGCTCTGCGCATCACGCTGGTCTAGATGATAACAGGCAACTGGAAGTGCTGCCGGAGCCTGTAATTAGCAGGCTCCTACCCTGGGACTCGGTTCTTGCCGGTGGGCTGTAGGTGTGCGATCATTTGCCAGTTAATCAATGGGAATTATTAAAATATCACCGCATATTTTTGCTTTGCACTAGATGCGTACACAGCAGCTCTTACACGGGGCGTGCGGGCAGTATCTGGGGTTCCCAGTTGTGAAAGCAAATCCTACCGCTCATTGACTGTCAGTACTCTGAATTTGCTTTTTTTTTTTAATTTTAAAGCAACCTCTTCCTTTCCCCCCATCCCAGCCAAAATGAAAAACACTGATATTATTGCCATGTTTAATTTCTTCAAACAGTGCATTTTAGCCTAGTGAAAAAGTCCGTAAAACAGATCTAGTTTTCAAGCTGTGCAAAATTCTACCGTTTTAAGTACAAAAAGCAGTGTGTCCCTTCTTGAGCAAGTACGTTTTACTTTGGATTTGCTTTGTAAACAAAAATCCACAGTTTATTGGGTTGATTTTTTTTTTTTTTTGGCATTTATTTACATAGATGGTACTTCAGCCATAAAAATTGTGTACATTAGTGCTGTAACTCTGTAATTTTTCCGGTCATTTTGGCTTTAGGCTTTAAGGTAGCCTTGCTGGGATCCGGCGAGAGTACAAGGCAGACGCAGGGAAGTTTTCTCCCAGGTATGCAGCCATGTTAGAGGCTTCTCGTGTGGCCAGCGAACCCTGGAAGAGCACTGCTGCTGTCGTTACAGCACTGTTGAGCCAAACATTGTACGCGCTATTTATTAAACCCAGCACCTCCTGTGATGGTACTGGGGCGACAGCACAGTGTTGCCACGTAGCTGGGGAGCATTTACAGAGAGAAGTGAAATACCCCATGTATTATCTGTTGGCTGTGTGTTCAGTGACAGAAGCTGTGGGAGGTCTACAAAACAGCTCAATACGTCACTTCTTATGGAAACTGTTATGCCACAAGAGCGTACAGAAATAGTTTTGCTAAACAGCGACTGGTATCTCAAAGATGAATTGTGATCCTGATCAGTGGTCACCAGAACAAAATGATGAACTTCTGTATTTTCTCCTGAAGAGAGAACTCTCATTTTCCTGACTAAGCCAAGTGCCAGCGAAACTGGAATTTTTCACATCTGTCTTAAAATGTTCCTACGTTCAGAGTCAAATTCATTTTTTGGCAGTGGATGAAGCCACCTCACGCTCAACTCTTTTTCGGGATTATTACATAGATTTAGAAAATGTAACGGTGCGTGCCTTGATTTCCCCATCTGTGAAATGGGCGATCCCGCAGCGCTCCTGTGAAGCACCCCGGCTGGGAACCGCTGCGACTGCAGCTGATTGTTATTCTCTTAATCATATTAGTTAACTAAATCTGTTCCTAGAGTGGTTCCATTTGCTTGAATGAATTTACATGAGAGATTAATTCAGTGCTGTTTATTGTTGGTTTTACATTTACTCAGCACTGTAAATAACGCCTGATACTTTACAGCTGTGTATAAGGACAGGGCGTGTGCTTGGAGGGCTTTTTTGCGCAGGTAATTTGCAGGCTCCCCTCTCAAACCTTGTGCTTTCCCACAGAGTGGACGAGCCCATTTTTGTTCCTCAGTATTTCGAGGACTTTTCGTTCACGTGGTAGCCGCTCCCAGCACTTTCCTGCGAGTATGATTCAACAGATGAAGTTGACCCTTCGCCTCCGAAGGGTGACTAGCTCCCCTCGGCC